TCCCTTCAGATGGGATTTATAAACACTGATATCCAATCTCCATTAGAGTCACTATTACTAGAGTTTTTAGGGCAGAAGCCCTGAACCCTGGCAGCATTAGCAAGCTAGGGTTGGCTACCTGTCTTCCCTCCACCATTCAAGAGCTAAGTAATTGCTCAGTTCTCAAGAAAAACAATTCCACTCTCCCTGCAGAGAACTAGAGATAAAGAGGTCAAAAGTCCCTTTGACTTAATAGAGAATGGGCGTGTGGATTTTCTTTCAGACACTACTCACAGTTTAGAAATAGAAAAAGGAGTCAGGCCCAGTTAGTGAAACTTGGAGAGAGATTTATTCAACATGGCCACATTGGAGAAAAGAAAAATAAAAGGGTCCAGTGAGCCCCAAGCCCCTCTTCTAGAGTGCTGGCATGGGACTGAAATGCCAACAGAGTCTGCCCTGTTGGGGTCCTGTCTATCAACTGTTCCATCATGGTTTGTCCCCAGTCTCCTCTGCGAGACGGTCTGACAACTCGGTAACTGTGAAATCTCTACCTGGGAGACAAGCTCCTCTGACTGGCACCACTTGTTAGCATTTCCCTTCCCCAGCATGAGATTCCTGGGGAAATTCCAATTTCTTAGGGTCCACTATCTCAATAGTCTGTAAGCCAAAAAGAGGGGCACAAGTGTGGCCTTAGAATATCATCGTCCCTTCTCCCAGGAGCCTGGAAACAGCAGCCCTAGCTCCCTCCATCCTCCAGTCCTAAGGTCTTCTTGCCAGGTGACTTTGCAAATCATTAACTTTTTGAACCTCCCTTTTCTTAGTTGTCAAGTGGAAGAGTTGGACTCTTAACTTCTTGACGCTCCTTCTGGCTTTCAAGTTCTGCACCCTGCCCCAACCAGGCTCTCTGCTTTTGTCACTGCCAATCTGTGGCAGCTTGGCATCCAGCTGGGTGTAGAATTACCCGGCTCTCTTATCTCTCCTTGATTTGTTTCTGTGTTGGCTTTCCCTCCCCTAGAGATAAATATCCAAGGGGCTGGGGGTTGAGAAAGAGTAGATCTTGAATAGACAACTTCTAGCCTCTCCGTGTTTTCTTAGATGTTCAGATAAGAGCTTCTGACTCTGGGGCCTCAGGGAATCACAGCTTTCCTAAAGGAGAGACCACCTTCCAACCCTCCTCCCCCAGCACACACACACTTTTGCAGCAGGAATTAACTCTTGATTGGCTTTCTCATGAGTTAGTGTTCTTTGGAGCTAGGGCCCTATGTTCTGGCTTTTATCTTTTTTACTGGACCATTGCCCTCTCGCCAAGGAAACACACAGAAACCACGCCTCTTACCCAAGACTTTCTGAATGTACTTTTATTTTCCATGTGTGATGCGAGTTCTGTCTACATGTGTATCTGTGCACTGCCATCATTCCTAGGGTCATCAGAAGCCAAAGGAGGGCACTGGATCCCCTGGAACTGGGGTTAAAGATGGTTGTGAGCTGCCATGTGGGAGCTGGGAATTGAACCCAGGTCTTCTGGAAAAGGAGCAAGAGTTCTTAACCACTGAGCCATTTCTCCAGCCCTAGGATCATGTCTTGATTGACAATCAAGAAGGAGGCAGTAAGTAGCCTGGTAGGTAGCCTGAAGTCAAGCGCTGCCCAGCGAATGAAATAAACATCCACAATGGCTTGTGTAGCGTCTGGCGGTGCACACATATTTACTTGAAGTCACTTATTTAATTCTTGTAACAGACTAACAGTTGTCTGGAGCCTCAACCTTGTTCTTACCCTAGGAATGAGGAGGGTAGGATGTCCAAGGGGAGAGCCCTGGGAACATATTTGGGACTGCAAACCCCAATGAGTACATTTATTCCATAAAATGGGGTGAAGGTAAAGTTACCCTCAGAACCTTCTGGCATGCTGGAATGGAGCCCAGGCTGGGCACTGATGGGAAAGCTAAGCTAGCATCCTGGAAAGGGGAGTCAATCCAGTAAACCCGAGTTCTGTGTCCAGCTTTGATACCCAGATGTGGCCCTTGGGGAAACAATGACTTGACCTCACCAGATCTGTGTCCTCATCTTCAAAACAGAGAGTGACTAACTATATATACAGCAGCTGTCTTTAGACTGAATAGAGGTTAAAGAACTCAATCTTATTTAGTCAAGGCTGATATCTACCAGGGTATGAATGGATGTCAGCCTAGCCCTGGGGGTGCGGGTGGGGAATTGAGGGGTCCTTGCCCACCAACAACTAGGTCAAGTTCTTTCTAAATCCCATTCTCTGTCTGCTGTGAGAGGACTGGAGAGATGTTGTAGGCAAGGGGGCAGGAGACTTCACCAGACGTGCCCACTTTTGCATGATAGAGGGGACTCTGGGGTTAGCCTAGGAACTTCCCTTAGGCTCATGTGCAGGCATGAGCCTGCTGCTTACCAGGCGGTGGGAAGGTCACTGGGACAGAAGACAAAGCATATCTAGCAGACTCACCCGGGATTTGTATCTGCGTCTAATCAAGCATGGCGCAACGCTCCACTCAGATCCTCATGGCATTCCAGGACCTGGAAGAGGCCCAACAGCGAATGCCTCCAGCTGATTGCGGTTGATTGAGCTGCAGCCCTTTGCCTGTCTGCTGTCTTCTCTTGCTCCTCTTTCTTTTCTTTGAAGCCAATTTGATTGCACAACGATCAGTCTTCTGCTCCCACAGGGCTGCCCCCAACTCCATCACTTCTGATTCCATCTAGGGGCTTGCTTTGCAAGCATTCTCAGTTCTTGAAGCAACCATGTGGCCTGACTTTCTCACTGTATATGTGAGTTTTCACCGTTAGAAGGAACCCAGTGCTTCCTAGGACACAGCTGCTAAGTAAAACTTTCACCTGAAACAAAAGCTCTGAATTCCCTTCCTTCTGATCTCAGACATACCGTTCATATCTCCCAGTGAGTTCAGTTCTATTCTAAGTTCCTTGAGGGATGGTATTTGTGGCTCTAATCTCTCTTCTTTAAATAATGTATTCACAATAAAAGATGATTAGCTATCTGTAGAGGTATGTACCTATAGTCCCAGCACATAGGAGGTTGAAGCAGCAGAATTTCTTATGTCCAGCCTGTCTGGGCAGTATAGTGTGTGTGTGTGTGTGTGTGTGTGTGTGTGTGTGTGTGTGTGTGTGTGTTTACATATATATGTTTAAAGAACATATCTTTAAAGAAAAAGAAGACTCAGGAGTAGTCAACCAAGACACAGTGAAAACATGCACCATGGTTTTGCTGTTGTTCCAGTTACAATTTAGTGGGGGTTTGCCCTTTTGTTTTTTGTTTTGTTTGTTTTTCAGTCAGAGACGCGGGGTGGGGGGAGAGAGAGAGAGAGAGAGAGAGAGAGAGAGAGAGAGAGAGAGAAGTTAATTGGGTAGTGTGATATGAAAAGTATCTAAGAAAACTTGGAGGAGGGCAAAAAAAATGACCAAAATATATTGTATGAAAAAATTAAAAATAATTTAAAACATAATGAAAATAAAATAAATTTTATATCACTTCAAAAAACGAAAAGCAGTAGGACTGGACTTCCTCCAGCCTCCTGACCAGAAGCAGATTCCTCCTCCTGAACACAGCCACTCCACAGAAGAGCACAACGAACACTGCGAGTCTTGTGGTCTGAGGCAGAGTCCGGGGGTGGGGGGTTGGAGGGGCAGATGATTAATACATGTCCGTCTTAAAGAAATGAAAAGCATGAGACTGGGAGATGAAGTCCACATTTCTGGAGAGGAAAGTGGGGGCAGGAGTCCAAAGAAAAGCAGCCCCAAAGTCCACAAATATGCGATGGTGTGAAATAAAGTCGCAAGCGTGCTCCGGCCAAGCAGCAGCCCTCCGCTCCACAAATGATTCCTCACCACAGTGACACTAAGTGCATCCAGACGCTTAAATGACACATGAGAGGGGTCACATTTAGTTTTTCCAATGCTTGCGATGGGTTCCCTATGTTCCCCCAACTTGTCTGCACTCTGGGAAGGGGCAGGCATGCGGGCCTGGCTGCCAGTGTGCTGGGAATCTTCAGAGCCTTTGAAAGCCATCCAGGAATGTCAGCACAGACTGCCTGCCCACTCTCTGCTCAATGCCTACTTTAGCTGTCTGCTGAGGACTGAATGTGCCAGACAGGCCTTCATACAAAGACAGAGAGTGTTCTGAGCCCGTGAAAGGAAGGCACAGCCTTTCAGATGTGAATGGTCAGATTTAAGTAGGTGACTACGTGGCCGGGAAAGGAAGGGCTCTCAAAGAGGTGTGAGAGAGACCCAGCCTATGGACGAACACATTCCTGATACCTGTACACCATGGGATCTGGTGAGACAGGCTACCATCACACTGTGTCTCTGCTTGATTACCATAGGATAGCCCTGTGCTTTCGAGTGCAGATTCTTCCTGAATCCAAGGCCTCCTTAACCATCAAAGATATGGCAAGCTCTGCCAAGGCCCAATTATGTGCACTTCTATTTACATTGCAATGCTGAATAAAAGTTCTGTTTGTAGTATGTGTCATTTAGAATTTTCTTTGACTTTTTTTTTTCCTATGAAAAAAAATGAAAGCATTGTGGTGCGTGAACAGCCTTTTTTCTTTCCTTTCTTTTCTCTTCTCTTCTTAGCACTTTCTTTTTTAGCACTGAGGGCAGTTCACTGTGGTGCATGAGCAGCTTGGGACATTTTTCCTGCCCAGCTGACTTTGAAAAGTTAGAAAAATGCTTTGCCCAGTGACCCCTTCCTAACTCGTTAGCAATGCTAGCCCAGCTCCTTGGCAAAGCACCCACCCTTGGAGGGAAATCTCTTCTGGGGTTTTGAGTTTTTCTGAGGAGTCCATCTGATGTCACTGGTGGAAGTCACAGTGTAGCTCTATCTGTCTTTTGTCTGAACCATCTGTGTTCCTTCTTATGGGCTATTGTTCATATTTCTTCTCTTTTTCCAGGAACTGTGCCTGTCCTTAAAAGCGTGGGGTGTATAAGCACTAAAGAGACAGAGCTAACATTCTAACGCTGTTTCCTCTCTCCTTCCCTTCCTAGAATCTTATGGCGAGGGCCTTATATGACAATGTCCCCGAGTGTGCTGAGGAGCTGGCCTTCCGCAAGGGAGACATCTTGACTGTCATAGAGCAGAACACAGGAGGACTTGAGGGATGGTGGCTGTGTTCCCTCCATGGTCGCCAAGGCATCGTCCCAGGTAACCGGGTGAAACTTCTGATTGGTCCAGTGCAAGAGACCTCCGGTCATGAGCAGCCTATTCCTGGACCTATGCATCAGACCTTTGGCCAACAGAAACTCTACCAAGTGCCAAATTCCCAGGCAGCATCTCGTGATACCGTCTACCAAGTACCACCCTCCTACCAGAATCAGGGAATTTACCAAGTGCCCACTGGCCATGGTACTCCAGAGCAAGATGCATATCAAGTGCCACCATCAGTTCAGAGGAACATTGGAGGTACTAATGGGCCCCATCTAGGCAAAAAGGTAAGTGATGAACTAGATTGTTGTTCCTTCTTTTATGCCACTCATTGTATTTAGAATAATGGAGGCAATCCCCTGAGAATAATTAGAAATTGCCCCACAGCAAGCATACTAAATGGCTTACCCCAGATGATACTATTGCATCAAATTTCCACTCATCAGCCAACAGCAATTTTTATTTTGAGATGGAGTCTTATTGTGTACATCTCAGACTGATTTAGACCTTGAGATGCTCTTGCCTCAGACTCCTGAGTGCTGGGATTACAGGCCTGCGTTACCATACCAGCAACAAAACTTCTTCGAATTGCCATGTGCCAATGGACCATGGACTGACAGCCAGAATAAATGGCATTTCATTCTGGAGCGGACTTGAGCATACAACCGTGTCTCTTCAGTTGGGTGATGAGTCTGCTAGACCTGGATCCTGTGTGTAAATGGTTGGTAGTCTTATCAGCCTCTTCCTTGAGTCGTGTAGCCCCAGTCATCACTCAAGCGTGGATCCTTCTCCCTGAGCCAAGAGCTAAGGAAGGCATGAATCAGTAGTCTGGCTGGAAAAGAATCAAAGGAAAGTAGAGGAAGTCAAAAGGTTGAAAATATATCCCAACTACCAGCTCATTCCTTAGAGCTTTGGGCTTAAAGATTGATTTATTCAAAATACACAGATACTAGTGGGCTTAGATTGGATCCATTTCTTGTAGTAATGTCCAAGTAGACGGCGAAAACAGTGGAGCTTGGATATTTAGGAAAATGTCAAGCTTTTAAAAAGTCCAAGAAACATATGAAGTATTCATCAGATTTTCATCACTATTACTGAATCCTTGAGATAGCTACCTTCATAAAGAGAGAACATTTATGGTTAATCTCTCAGTTTCAGTAGTCCCAGAGCCTGCCTCTGGCATTAGCTCAATTGTGGCAAAGGCCAGCTATCATCACATCTTTTCTGGGGGCACTCTCCTGATCACCTCATACCTGCCATCAGCACCTGTCTCTCAGAAGTGCTCCTCTCTCCCACCCTGTAGAGCAAGCCTTTAATAGCAAGATATTCTTGGAGGGAATACTCAGACCATCCCCAAACCACATGGCTAAGGAGCACCACGTGGCTAGGAGCACCATATGGCTAGGGAGCACCATGTGTCTAGGGAGAACCAAATGACTAGGGACTACCACGTTAGAGTCTCCACCCAGAACAATTTGAGATGAGTAGAAATGCATTCATTAAACAGTGAATATTGAGCATCTTTTGTGGTTTTGATATTTGTGATACAGTTGTGAAATAAAGACTAAACAGAGCTCTCAGAACACTTACGAGGCAATGAGGGAAACAGTACAATACCAGGTCAGGTGGGTGTGTTCACCGGAAAGAGAATCCCAACACTGACTTGCAGGGCAATGGCCAAGCCTACAATGGTGGGGTTTATGCCCATTAAAAGGGAGGGAATTCCTCTTTTGTTTGTCAAAAAGTTCCAATGGCTCCTTCAAGGCTTGCTAGTAAGAATAGACTCATTTTATACAATAAGAAAATATCTAGTCTCTTTCTCTTCTCTCCGCCATTGCCCCCACTTCTCTCTCTCTCCCCCTCCCTAAATAAATCCCCTCCTGTGGAAAAAAAAAGAAAATATCTCCAGATTACAAGAGTAAGGATAAAGTTAGGTACTAGAAAGAGCTTGAGACTCTGTAGGCCCAAAATATAGATGGATTTACAAATCTGTTATGTTAAATAATACTTGCTTACATGATACTTTTTCTAAGTAAGCCTTTTTAAAAAGATCTATCATTTTTACTTTAGGTTTATGAGTGTATTGCCTGTGTATATGTATGTGCACCACATAGATGCCTGGTACCCAAGGAAGCCAGAAGAGGGAGTTGAGTTCCCTAGAACTAGAGTTAAGGACAGTTGTAAGCCACCTGTGTGGCTTCTGTAAGAAAAAAAATGTTCTTAAACAATGAGCCATCTCTCCAGCCCCTGGGATCTCTATTTTTTTTTAAAGGGGCCAGGGGAAGAAAGATTTACTTTCGCATTCCTCAACAATGAGTTCATTTTCTAATCCTGTATTATACATATGTGTGTTTTAACAAAACACATCTCAAGGGCATATGTTCCGAGTTCTGTCTGATAGGAGAAATTCTCTAAGAAGTGGTGAAGGGCTTTTCTACTTAAGTTCATTCCCCAGGACAGGGATCCTGGCTACAGGCCATCCACAGAGCATGTGACCTTGCAGAGTCCTTCTCGCCCCAGTGATTTCAGCTCCAGAGGGAGCGCCAAGCCTGGCCTCCATCCCCAGAGAGGAAAAGAACAGTTGAAAGGTGTAACTATAAATAAGTAACTCTCATTCTTAGTCTCGGTTGCTTGAGCATCTTAAAAATACCGCTCCCTAGTCTGAGCTGGTTCAAGGCAGACAGAGGAGGCCAGTACAGGAAATGCTTGGCTGAAAGGTAGAGGGACCTCACTCTCATCATAGTTTATTTTGGCAGCAAGGTGACATGTTTTCCTTTTCAGGCTCAACCCTTTCGGTTCTATGTCTGGGAAGCCCGACACTTCAGACCCCTCTCTCCCCTCTTGCTTGTGTTATAGCTTGTGTTATAGCCTTCCCCCTTGGTTCTCTCCTAGTCTCCATTAATGTCAGGGGCTGAGGCCCTCAGGTGGCTCAGGTCCCTCCACGTACTGTTTCTGTGACTTCCGCACCTCAGAGCCTTCTGTGTTTAGCAAAGGGCAGGCGAGCCCTGCAGTAGTGAGCCAGCCTCTAAGAACCCTTGCCAGCCCTTATGCAGTGCAGACCAAGCAAGACACATCACCTGAAGCTTGCACAGTTGGTGGGTCTGGCTGGTCTGGACTAAAGATGGAAAGTACAGGAAAAGTGACCTGCCATGCACCAGGGTCCTCTATAACAAACCCCATGAGTGAGTCTTGGCGCCTTTGAGATTTCAGGTTTCCTGCTTCTGGTCCCCTCCTCCTCTTCTTTCCTTCCCTCATTTGCTTCTCTTCTTCCTTCTCCTTTGTCCTCTCCCTTTCCCTCTCCATTTCTCCTTCCTTTCACCCCCTCACTTCCCCACACTCTCCTCTCCCTCTTGCTCACCCACCTTCCTCCCTTGCTTTCCCACTTCCCTTCCTTATTTCCTCCATTTCCTTCTTTCTCTCTTCCCCTCTCTTCTCTCTCCCTCCTTTCCTTATCTCTCCTTTCGTCTTGGTTAAATTTTCTTTCCTGATGGAGGCAGCGGCAATGGTCACCTCTTACATGATTGTAACCTCCCAGGCAGTCATAACTGCTTTAAGAATTTGGCGACCATCTCCCTTGCTGTAGTAACTCCCAGTGGACGGGAATCCTAATGACTTAAGTCAGACCCCAATTTCAGTGGCCAAGAGACCAGATGTGGGTTTTGTCAGTAGTTATTGTTTCTCATCTTAGAAGTTTTATCAACTTGCTAAATAACTAACTCTTCTAATTCCTGTCTGTAAATAGTGACAAACTAAGGCCTGTACGACTGTTCCTAGTAGTTCTAGCTATGGTTTTTAAATGCTGTCTAAGGAAAATGAGGACTCAGTAGAAACTTGTTCTGAGCTTCAAGAATTTAATGAGACAATCACCTAGAGAGGAAGGGACTTTAGGGCAGCAGTGGATTCCCGGGTCCACCTCTTAGACCTTCCTTCCATGGGTCTAAGAGAGGAGGCCCAGGAACCCACATTTTCTTAAACTCTTTGCATAAGCCAGCAGGAGGTGGCCCAGGACTACTCGTAGAGAGACACTAAAGAGGTAGAATGGTCGGCTTGGATGTGTTCCAGTTTGACTGTGATTGGGACTTTCCGTAGTTCGGAACTCTCCCGTGTTGTTACAGCGTGGACTTCAAACATTTCATCCGCCCCTGTGTTCTAATGAATCACTTTTAAAAAAAAATAAGAGCATAAATTCTGTCTTCTGCCTTGCCTTTCTGTTCTTCTGGAAACTCCAGCCTCCACCTACCCCACCCCCGGCACCCCATCCATATTAACCCAACAGCCAGAATTAGCTGCCTGCAGTATATGGACGGGGAATCACACACACACCCTCTGTGAACCAGGGAGACCAGGAGCCCCGTGGACAGAGCAAGGCTTCAGTTAGTCTGGCTCCTACCCCAGCTTTGTGGCTTCATGTGCTCAGCAAATTACAGGTGTCCTCTCGGACCCTGCCCCTTTGCTTGTGAAGTGGGAATAAGCCTGTTCTCTACAAAGGGCTGTCGGGAAAATGAAGCAGACTCTTAGGCAAAAAGCGCCTGCATTGTGCTTACCATTGTGGGATAGCCCTCTCTCTTGCCTTTCTTGCCTTTCTCCTTTCTCAGAGTTTTGTTTGGGGTTGGGTTTTGTTTGTTTTAGACAAAGTCTTAAGTGACCCCAGCTGGCCTCATACTCCCTAAGTAGCTGATAATGACCTTGAGTTTCTGGTCTTCTCCCATGTTGGGATGACAAATGTCTGAGCTCATGCTTGGTTTTCAAAGTTCATGTGGAATCTATAGACCTTGCTTGTTTCTCAGTATATGCTGAATATGTACATACTTTATTCTCTGCGAATGTGCTGGACCCTTTGGGCATGCAGGTCTCTCCCTGGCTCTTTAAGAATTCTGGAAAAAGTGGCAAAGAATCAAAGTTATCTGGAAACCTCACACAAGGACACCATGCTGTCTTGTTGGTCTTCACTCTGGGTTTTATGTGCAGGGCTGTTTCGTGCATCAGACATTATGGGCAGAGTGCCCAGGGCCTGTCCAAAAGTTTGAAAGCTGAATAAAAACAAAAGAAAGCTTTGAGCCACAGAGTATGAAGCATAAGTGCAGAATAGAAATTAATCAACAACGTCGACAAATGCAGAAGAAAGAGCCTCACGCAGGGCTCATCATTTATATGTGGGATTCAAGATCATTCCATTCCATTTGGAAAACAGTTTGTGAGTTAGAGCTCTCTCACTCTGCAAAGACTTGTAAATATGGGTTGAGATCGCCAAGAACTCACAGACAATGCTAAATTAAGTGCATTACTC